CAGAGGCCATGCAGTTGTACAGCTGCACATTTCATCAAATAATCATTTCCTTGATATTTGATCATTATTAACTACAAACATAATGACTCCAATAAAACAATTGAGTCTCTTTCCTACAGTCTCTCCCTGTTGTCTCTCTGCAATGTTGAATGACAAGCACGCATCGAAAGAAAATCATTTATGCCTTTATAGTGGATTCATTGTAGTGTCATGGTCCACAGGCTTTCGTTTAATTATCTTACGTGCAAAAGGTTTTTTTGGTCTTCTACAGGCTTAGGCAGGAATAGGGAGAGGCAGGCAGGGAGGGTGAGAGCAAAAGCACGTTTTGCCTTGCAGAGTTGCCTTTTACTTATGAGGAATAAGGCTGATGTTATCACCCACTTTCTAATCAAATTTGACAGGAGCATTTTGTTAAGCCACTTTCTCTGAGTGGGAATTCTGATGAATACGGCTCTTGTCTCCGGTTTCGAAGTATTACTTTACACCGTTCCCAAGCATTGTTTGCCTTAATGGATGAATTATTGAAGTATGTCAGAGAAGCAGATAATTCACAGCCTCGTTTTATAAACTGAGAGCCCAAGGCACAGTAGTTTCACTTGCATAGCAGCACAGCAGTGAAGGGAGCCCATGTCACCCACCCAACACACTTCTCGTTGGATGAAAAGTTTGCTAGTGTGGCCTCAGTATTTCTCTTCAGATCATGGCTACTGGAGAATGTAATGACTTTGACAGGGACCTGCTTGTAAGTGAAGTGGGACGGGCAGTGCTTTCGGCATACTCCTGGTGCACTTCTGTTTCAGATGCTCTTTTTGCCACTGTCTGTGTGTTGATAGCTCTGAAAAAGGACTTATCCCCACTTGGTTTTCTGCCCGCCTGGCTCATGGTTCTGTCCTTGAGTAAGTAGGCAATTGGTCACTTAGGGACCTGGTCTTTTTGGAAAGATAAGCCATAAATTAATTTGGAGGCTGAAGCAGACTGTGGCATAGCCCAGTGCAATAACCTTCTTATCGGATTTTGAATACTCAGCTGTGTAGCCAATACCAGGACTTCCACACACATTAATGTTGCTTGTAAGGTCCATCTCTGTTTGCAGAGTATGCATGTTGGTCACCCACTCCTCTGTGAGTGAACTACTACTGTAACATTGAAAAAAAACTTGTATAAAGTATATGTTACTCTTGTTCCTTAAGGCTATCTGGCTGAGATTGAGTAAAAGAAGCAGAACCAAACTACCATTCCGTGTTATGTTTGGACGTTTTCAAACCACCGCAGTGGTACACAATCGTTCCCTTCTGCCGGTTTGTGTAGCCAGCTGATCCCAGCCCTTTGGAAGCAGGAGATCAGTGAAGTTCTGCTGGTGGGAACCAGCCTTGGCAGAAACCTGCTGGCAGTTGAGATAAACCCTTTGCACTGCACGTGTTCCTGGAAGGACTGCTGAATGCATCGGTAATGGCCATGGCCCCTCAATAAATCAAGGGGTGATGAGAGGCTTATATTTAATTGTTTTTGCCTCCTCAGGAAGCATTTTGATTCTTCACGGATAATCTAGTTGGGAACAGGGATGTAAACTCTGTTTAACTCCAGTGCTGTCAGAGTACTCGGTACATTGAGGAGGAGCAGTGGGATTCAGGTGTGGAAGGAGATGGGCTGGTACTGTCCTTCCCTCAGTCTGGTGGCTGATTTTTAACAAATTGCTGAGGGATATCTGAGGAGATGATCCTTTCTGAGATGCTGCCACTGCTGTTTTGGCATCCAGAAACTCTGCAGGAGGTGTGTCTGTACCTCCATGGGCTGCCTCACCTGGGTAGGTACGTAGGGACGCTTGGACAGGGTTCTTGCCTCTGCTAATCGAGTGAGTACCAAAATTAAAAAGCCCCTTGTCTCTTGCAAGGGTTCTCCCCCTACACTTATTTAGACGCCAGTAAAATTAGCTTTTAAAAGGGAATTGGGAGTGCAGTGACTTTATTGGAGCAGCATGTGTTCAACAGAGACCGGTTCCCCTTTGCTGGGGCTGAAGCTGCTGGGACACAACGGCTTTTCAGCGGGCCCCTGCCACCTGCCCCTCGGTGCCTGGTCCACCGCGTGTCCATCAGCTGCTGGGTGTGCAGTGGGATGACAGGGGCTGTGAAGGAGAAGGTTTTGAGGAATAAAACCAAAGCTCGTTCCTGTCTGTGTTCAACAGCAGTGTCAACTTTGTGGCAAGAGGCTATGGGGAACTCTTTGAATGGTCCTACAGCAAGAGGAGCAGAGAGGCTGGCCAGACAGGCTGGGTAGAGGACGTGTGTTTGACGTAAGCGTTATGTTGATATTTTGTGGTTCTGTGGAATTTCCAATGTAGTTAAACTTGGTTTATTCTGAATTCAGTTTATTGTAAGCTCTGTTTATTTATCAGTAAACTCAGTTTATTGGTTGTAGTGGTTCCTCCTGCAGAGGAACAGGAATCCTTTCTTGTCACAGCCATTTGGAGCAACCATGTTCCCCAGTGGTTTGGTTTTAGGCAGGTTGAGTTTATAATTTCAGTGCTGTTTGGGAGAGATTTAGACTCTTTAGGGAGGGCTGAGCAGCACCTTTCTCGGTGAATGGTTGTCCAGAGCTGCTGCCTCCAGAGTTCAGATCACCTCGCTGACCCTCACAGGCACACCTCAGCACGGGACGTTCCAATGGAGCCCCGCCAGCCCCGACCCACTCCTTGCAGCCCTCCCCGGGTCAGCACTGGCCAGTCTGGGTGCTAGCTCCCCCCTCCCAAACTTTCCAGCAGTACCTCTCATTCCCTTTCCCGAGCAGGCTCGTAAACCCATTTGCTGCAACACCTTACTTCTAGAAGGGGCATTAAGTATTCTCAAATTTGTTTTTTCCATTTCCTTTCACTTTGTTGGTGTAGCCTTTATTCACAGAATAAAATTAACACCTCATACTTGCATTCTCTTACAAACACTTACAGATAACGTGAAATTTCAGAAGTTGGGAAGAACCAGTAACCCTCCTCATCCCCAACCAGTTAGGCTTGGGTTTCTTCCATGGAATAACCTTTTTATTCCAGGCTTTATTTATGTTGTTGTGGTGGGTTTGTTTTGTTTTGTTTTTTTAAACAAGCACAACTACCCATGTATAGACATAACTTTGTGTAGCTGTTTTGCTGACCTTGCCCATCCGTCTGTTGAGGGGATATATTTATACATTAGTTATTGGGGTTTCGGTTAAAATTTTTTTACCTTGCAATTTAATATTAATAGTAACTGACCCTTGTTTCCTAGTCTCCAAAACACATGGTGCCTTATTTCCTATTCATTGTTTTGCAATGATTCTTCCTTTTTTCATATAATGGGCTTAAGAAAGCAGTGTCATTTAAACATTGACAGTCCTTTACATTCCAGTATTTCAGTGAGTTTTCAATACGAAAAACCTGCCTTTTGCTTAAAGTTGATTAGGAATTGTGGTGGTGATGGCCGTGGAAGTTTTTGGTTCGTTTCTTCATCTCTGCTGTTGGAGTTGTGCTGCATTAGGCTCCGATTTACTGTTATTTGGCAGTGGCTCCAAAGAAAAATGCCACTTTTTATTGTGGACATTGTCTCTGCCTCCAGTTGCTTTCTCTCTGTTACGCCTTTCGTCATCTTCTGTATTGTTTTTTGAGTTACCAGAGTCTATCGCAGCTTGTGCAAGTGCAGCATCGCTGGAAGCGATGGGTCCGGGTCCAGGCTGGAGTCCGTATGCTTTTCCCAGCCAGCCATCCGCGGGGAGGCTACAGCTCTTCAGTGTTACCAAATAATATTATTTCAAAAGCTCCTTATAAAAACATGAGTAATTGGACAAGTGACAAAGGACTTTCTGTTTATTTTTTGAACAATGGAAAATACCAAATAGTCGCAATTTGTTACAGTTATTTAATGTCTTTGTTCCAGAGCCATTTCATGGGCGAAGAATTTAAGTCTGCAAGAATACAGGAAGATGGTGACTTGTTTTCATGCTTAAAAAAAAATAAAATTATTAAAACTTTCTAATTTCTTTACTAGGAAAGTATTTTTTTACTTGGCAATACCATTTTTAAAGTCCAAGGAAGATATTTTACAAGCCTGAAGTTATTTTAATAATCAAATGAGACTTTTAAATAGATGCTGATATCTTTGCCATTCCAGAGAATATCACTGTTTGGAAAAGCTTTGTACAAAGGTTGATGTTTGCACCCTGAGAACAGTAGATTTAGCTTGCAAATATGAACTAAGCAATTATGAAAGCTAACACTAACCAAAACAAAATTATATTGAAATTTACTAGGCTGATTAAAGCTGGTAATGCTGATTAAAGTGGAAAATAGAGGAATGTGTGCTTTTAAAAGGGAAAACTTTGGAGGAGGAGCACTTGCAAAAAGTTATTTTTGCTGTCATGCAATTGTCAGAAACCGAGACGAGGGAGGGTACAGAGCAAATAGTGCCACCTCCTGGCAATGTAATGAAAATGTGTGTGTGATCTGAGATGGCAGGTACATGTGGGGTTTGTCACTGATGTATGAGGCAATATGTAGGATTAGTTACATAGTCTGAAGGAGCAAAATCCTTTTGTGACATTGGGCCTAAAGAATCTAGATATGGGGAAATTGGATCGAATCCTCTAAATTTCTTTCCCAAATGTGGAAATAAACTGTCTTTAGATGCCTACCTGCTTGCCAGCTTTGCTTCTTTGTCTTTTGACATCTCAAACCCTTTTCTTTTAGCTCTTCTGCCAAGGAGTTTGGCCTCATGGTACATAAAGCTGCTGGGAAGAACTGTGTTTTAATTGTATTTAATTGTTCAGTTCTGGTCTCTGGATGAACACGAATTAATCTCTTCCCAAGGTGGTAGATTTCCCAAGGTGGTAGATATCCCTGAGGTCTGCCTGGTTGATTCTGCAGTTATTATGAATCTGTTTTACATTTGCTCTGGAAGACTGGCACCTGCCTTCTGGTTGACATGTCTACACCACAGGCAGGAATATCATTAACACTTGCCTCGTGTTTTGTTTTACAGGTGGTACCAGAGAGATTGGGTCTGCTCTCACCAGGATGTGTATGAGGCACAGAAGTATAGAGTCCAAACTCCGGCAGTTCTCAAGGTGAGTGGCTCTGTACCTGGCCTGGAGCTCGAGGTTTGTCTTTCGTTTGCTACTGGGGAAAAGCTGTTCACCAGCGTTGGCTTTCCAGTTGATCTCTGACCATGTCACTGAGAACAGCATTTGTTTTCTCCCCCGTGGCACACTAGGTGTTGTGAACACTCAGGGTTTCACTCCCTTTTCTGGGGACTGGGCTTGTCACCTCCAGTCACTCTAAATGCTACAAATTCCCACTGTTGGTTCCTGTTGCTCAGTGCTGAGCAGGTGGCTGCTGATGTGACCGACCTGTCTTTGTTTCAGGACTTTAAGCTTTGTCTCTAGGTTCCAAAGCAGCACCAAGTGTTGTGCTGCTTCCTCAGCTTACTGGAGAGCCCAAATAGCTTGCAGCCAAGGGAGAAACTTTCAGCAAACAAGTATGGAAAAAGCAAATTCTTTCCTCCCTTTTTTGCAGTTAAAGTTAGACTGTAGAGATAATGGGAGAGGATTAACTCATGTGTAAGCTACACTATACGTAAACAACCTAATTCTGTAATAAGTAGCAGTTTGCACATGTGCCTTTTTTAACCAGACTTAAGTTATCCTTGACCTGAGGTGAACCACCATTTGCCTGATGACCTGGGATGTTTTGCCCTTTTAAAATAGAGATATTTGTGAAATTTTCTGTGATAAGAAATCTTTAGTCTCTAGTTATCCCAGAGTTAGCTATTAAAATGATTGAATCCCAGTCTCATTAATTAATGGAGCATTGCTAGTGCTGTATCATGGACTCCGCTGGTGAGAGGTGAGGCACATCGGTGGGCAGGATGTTGTTTGCTTGTACAACTGCTCTGTCTTCTTGTGCATATACATGTGTTATTTAAGTTTATAATCTTCATTGGCTGCATGAACCTTTCCGGTCTCCAGAGTACCCATTTAAACTGCTCTTTGTGTGGCAGATGAGTAGGATCTGACTGTTTACATTGGCCCTGTTTTGGGTCGATTCTCTGGTTTATGCTCTGTTCCTCACTGTCCTGAACTTCTGCACAGTAATTCTGTTTTCTTGTGATGTGGATTTTTTTTTTTTGATCCAGTACTTTCTTTTGCTTTCTCCAGTGTAAACATTTTTATGTTCTGATATTTACATTGTGACACTGGTAGCTGTCACAGCAAAAAGTAAAAATACTCCGATATTGACCTTGGCTCTCTATATAAGAATAGGGGCGTCTGCAGGATTTGATTGCTCTTTGTGTTTTTTCAACAAAATTAGTGCTTTAATTGACTGTCTGATAAACCCACTTCAAGAACAGATGGAAGAGTGGAAGAAAGTGGCCAATCAACTGGATAAAGACCATGCAAAAGGTAGTTACAGAGGAAGAATTCTTTAATAGGACTAAGATTGTAATATCAGCTTTTCTTCCTCTTTTCATGTTTGTGTGGGGGAACTGAATGATGTGCTTAAATATATATAGCAACTTTTCTCTTCTAAAACACTCTTCTCCCAAAGTGTCTAACAAATTTTTAACCCTTGCATATACATTTGAAGGTTTAGTTTGCACGACCCCAAGGGATGGGTTGTTTTTCTAGACTGGTTTTAACTCTGTTAGCCCACTCTCGCTGTATGATCTCCAAAAGTGCTGAGGACTGGGGATGGCGCATCTATCCCTGCAAAGCCCTGGGGTGTAGTTAAAAGCTAACTAAGAGCATGCTGTGTCTCAGCCATAGTGTCCTCCAGAGTACGCACAGCCCTGTAAAACATTCAGCATCGTTATTTTACATCTGATGCGATAGAGCAATGTGCACCTGGGGAGCAAGAAAGCTGTGTTGTTGGACACGGGATGCTCAGATCTGCAGTGCTGATGATGGCTGCAGAGGCTTTCCTGGGGTAATGAGCAGGAAGCAGCAAAGTCTTGCACAGCAAGAGCATTTTGGTAGATGGCTTTTGCTTTGCACAGCTCCTACTGGGGATGATGACCCTCTAGCACGTGTGCTGAAAGCAGGTTACAGTTCACCACTGACCCTTCAAAGCTGAAGACTTTTGGTATGCCTGAAAGAAGCGGCATCACCATAATTTATTTTGGGGAGGGTGAGAACTGATGGGAAAAAAGTGTGCTTGGCCTCTGAAAGAGGATTTGCTTCTTACCCCACTATTACTGTGGTCAAATAGAAGCTGCTAAATGAGCAACTCTTGAAAAAACTTCCACCTTGTACCCCTGGGAAGTGTTAAGCAAATAATAAGCAGGAGGGAGGAATCAGCTGGGTCCCTGCAGGTGGGGGTGACCCTGGCCAACGTGGTAGTGAGATTTAGGGTTTAGTGGGTAGACTTGGGTGTTGGAGGTGCAGTTGGCCCTGGTACAGTTCTTGTGCCTGCCACCATCCTGCTTCTGTTTTTTCCGTCTGCAGAAGAGTAGTAACATTGACCTCCTTTGTTAAAGTATATGTGTGTGTGTGTGTACATGCATACAGGCCTTTTTTTAAAAGGACTAGAGGTGGAATGTTTTTTTCTGGGATTTTAATTCTCCCAGGATTTGCAGCTCATCTGAAAATTAGGACAACTGCAGTGTGCTCCACTTCATCAGGAAGAGCTGGCAATGTGACCCTTCCTTGGGCAAAGTTTTAGCACCCTCTCCCTCTGCCTGACTCTCATGGTGGAGAGGGATTCCAGGATATTCTCTGCCTTGCCATTTCTGGATACTTGTTTTTGAACAAAGATGTTTTAAGAAACCTGTCATCTCTGTTTTCCGTTCCTGAGAGTGGATGAGCCTCTGAAATGAAAAGCACTCTAATTTTGTACTGTGTTCTCAGTTGTTATTTCTGTAAAGGCTTTGTTTATTTGGGAAAGATTTTGGTATTCTGTTTTAAGCCAAATGTATAGGCACTACAAAATGCAAGTTCTAAGCTGCTTTCACTAATAGCTGTCCTGTTAAAATTTTAGTCTAATGTCTTTAAACATAGCCTTTTCTGTGAAAAACATCAATGTTAACGTCGAGTATTTTGATAACAGAGACTCTGTGTTTTTTTAGAATACAAAAAAGCCCGCCAAGAGATAAAAAAGAAATCGTCTGACACACTGAAGCTGCAGAAGAAAGCAAAGAAAGGTAACTTGCTCCATACTTGTGCTGTTAAAACCCTTTTGTGCTCTGCTCATTGACAAAGATTAAACAGTGATAGGACTTTCTATTGCAATAATTTGGTCCCCTGTAATGTATTCCTGGTACATACTTGAACACCAGGGTACAATTACTATGTGTCATTTAAATCATATTCTGAAGCTGCTGTCTAATGTTCTCATACAAAAGCCTTAAAACTGATTGTACAAAGTCAGTCATATTTTAAAATAGAGCACTTGCTGCTAACGTATTCCTGTTAGGAGTGCTACCATTGTAACATGACTTGTGCAGATACCTGTAAAATTTTCTAGAATCTTTTGGAATAATATAAAAAAGCCATTATGTAAATGTTCTGTAACTTATAGCATTTCTCACTGTTCTCCCTTTCCACCACCTTTCCTCTTCTTTATTTTTTTTAATAACCTAAACTTTACATTATTCCTCAGAGCGTGGGAAGGTGGTATGTGTTCTTGTCAGGGGGAGGGCACTTGGCAACCATGGAAAACTAAAGATGAGTAAGAAAAGCAAGGGAGTTCTCCACAAAGGCAGTCTATCTTTTTTAGCAGCTGAATCTCGTGCTCCTGTTGCTCTCCTACCACCATCTTGTCACAGAAGTTTCATCATCATGTTAATGGAAACGTGCATCACTGATACCTGCAGCATTGCCATCGCCAAGGGTTTTACTTGGCCAAGTGCAAACCCCACCAGGGTTTGGAAAGATGATATGGAGCTTGTACAGAAGCAGACTTTCTGTTTCTTTTTCCTGGCACTGGCCTCTTCCCAGCCGGGTAGGAACTGTGCTTTGAGTAGCCCTCAGCCTGCGGGTTGCAACTTGTCCTTCCCCTCCTGCCTAAAAACAGTGAGCCTAGGGACAAGCAAAGTAAATGCTAGGGCGGGGAGTTTCTTGAACTTTTTAAATTCAGAACAGCTGAGCTGTCTCTCGCTGTCCTTCCTAATAGGTGAGTCAATAATTACGTTGGTGGAAAGCCACATGACTAGAAAACTGCTCTTGAGTTTTAGCTGACTTCAGATGAGGGATGAGGAAGGGAGAAATGAAAGCCAGCGAGAGGGGGCTTAGCTCAGTAGGCTCTCTGTGTCTCTCTGTCCCTGGAAGAGTGTAGTGTTTTTGTCAGAATTGTCATCTTTAGGGGGACATGTTTTTTTCTGATGAGATTTTATTTTGGGTGATGCGTAAACACGTTTCTCATTTTATGTGACGAATTGTCTGACTTCAGACCAAGAGCTTTAGAGAGTCTGTGATATTCCCTCCGTTTCTTTTCCTTTCTTTCACCCTTTTCTGGTCTCATCACTTCTTGTCCCCATGTGATACAAACAGCCCCTCAGTGCATGCTAGGTGATAGCTGAGAAAAGCATGTCCGTGATCTGGGAAGAAGGAACCATTTTTATTGAACCCATTTCTATGAATTGACAGCTATCTGGCTCCATCTCCCTTTTATCCTGCTTCTGAGCATTGAATAAATCAATCTGCAGTCTTGGAGGAGGAGACAGCATTTTCTATAAGGTGGGAAGAGGAGAGAGAAGCACTTAAAGCCTTCTGGAAAAAACCCCGCTGTTCTCACGCTGCGGATGCCACTGTAGGTGTCTGTGAGCAGTGGTTAAAGCAATTTTCTGGGTTCCTGTCTCCCTCCCCAAATGTGTGCCGTGTCTAGTGACGAGGGTCAGCACACTAGTGTCTTGTCCTCCTTCAGGATTAACCATCTTTGAGCAGGGAGTGGAGCAGGCCTCATTTTGCTCATTTTTATAGCAGCCATGCTATGACTGAAGTCTTCTTCTTCTTTTTTTTTTTTTTTTAATGTCATTCCCTTGCTTAATTTTGCTGTCATGACATGCTTTGTGAGTTGTTAATGAACCTGTTGTATTCCTGTGCTGTCCCCCTTGGAACTGCTGTCACACACATGGTGTTTGGGTCCAGAGCACAAACCCAATGGGACTGGGGGGGAGGGGGGGTTAAAGCTGGTCGCAGAGGGACATGTATGGGGAAGGTAAAAGTGATGAAGGCTCCCAGGTAGCCAGTACAGGGGAAAGGAGAAGCTGCAATATTTTTGAGGAGCTGAGAGTTGTTCTCATGGCCCCTGGGGAGGAGAAATGCAGTGAGGTGTTGAGGCTCATAAGGCTGTGAGAAGGAATGCCCAGAGCTGCTGCCCTGTGAGTTCCCAGCACGAGTGGGCCGGCAGTGGGAGGAACTTCTCCCTGTCTTCTTGCAAGTTATCTACAGCGCTTAAATACAGAAGAAAAAAAAAATTAGTAGATGCTTTTTTCCCTCTTTGCCTTTTTGTTCCCTACCTTGAAGGAATAAAGCATTGGTCTGAATGCAGTGCCAAATGTTACAAAAGCTTTTTTGTATGTACCCACCTCGACAGGTCTGTTCAGTGTGCTGTGTGGTGAAGTACGTTGCTCTTGATGTCACTGAGGGACAGAAAGAATCAAGAAGGGGGTTATTTCTAAAATGATAATGCTGCAGAAGTGATTCTGCTTTAGGTCACAAAGGAGGTTTGAACTACGGGCAGGGAAGCTCTTGGGTGAAAGTGTCCTGGCAGGCATGTGGCTGAGTGCATGAATGTCATACTGTGCCTTCAACTCTCCTGTTTCCCTGTTGCTCACTTACTTTTTTTGTACTGTTCTTCCTCAAGCAAGACCTGTCCCTTTGATTTTTTCTGTGAAGTTTCTGACTCACCAATGGGAACTCTAAAACAACCAACTCATTCCCTTCCTAGCGCTTGTAGGAATATTTTTGAATTAACCTTATGATCATCTGTGGGCAAGTGAGATATTTGCTGAATTCTGGATTTGCTTAAATACTGTGCATGCTACTAAAAACATCCTTCAAGCTTGTTCTGCTATGACTGGATGGGAAAGTGGTTTTCTTCTGCTTTGGGCAGCTTCAGATCTAGAAGCCCAGATACAACCCTCTACTTTTCTCATTCGCATCATGGCAGTGGTGTCTTTTCTCCCTGCAGCATTCTCCCTCCCTCTCGCAGCTGACGGCTGCAGCATGCGTAGCAGCTCCTTGCTCCTTGTCAGCATCCCAAGGATGTCTGGGAGAGAGGGCCGTGGGCTGCGTGCTTTGTCCTGGCAGGAGTGCTACAGGTTGGGCACCCCACCTTAGCGCTTAGGGGCTGACTGCGTTGAGGTTTGCCTCTTCTCTGGCTTGTGCATGGTCTGTTTGTTGTGGTTCCGTGTGGCCAAGTTGAAAGTTCAGGCCAGGCATTTAAAAACATTTATTAGAAATTGTGTTTGCAGAGTAGGTGTGTTAATTGCAATAAATGTATTTCCAAAGCTTGAAGTGATGGGGAAAACAACAAGCTTTCCAAACAAAACAAAAAGGTGTTAGTGGTCCTTTTTGGAAGTTTGCTAGAGTATATCTGGTAAAATGATAAGTCTGTGTGTAAATAAAGGTCTTGCATTGTACTTTCCAGATGCATGCAGTCCCTGGGGGTGTCATGGTGATCCTCAAGGTGCATCCTTTTCCTTATGCCCTTGTTCCCAAGGGGAACAGGCCTGTAGGGCATGTTGCCCACCCCAGTGCTGAGACTTAGCTCTTGTCTGAACAGATGAAGCAACGTAATGCATGGAACTGCATACATCTTCTAAATTGCTCTTTGTTTTCAGATAAACATTGGACATCAGAAGTCATCCCAGCTAACCTGAGTCAGCAGAATAATTATGCATATATTTAAAATAAATTCCATGTTTATGTTTCTGCTGAGTCAGGGCCTCATAAGTGGATCCATAGCTGCTAGAAGCTGTTGATGCTATATTGAATTCAGAGGAGAGACAGCAGCTGTGGCTCTGCATGCAGCCATTTTGGAAAGGGAACAAAATGCATGATTCTTAGTGTAAAAAAAATGTGTCAAGCAACTAACTTAAATATAACTGAATGTGTATGTAAAATCTGGAGTGCATGTTGGCTTTATTTTCTGTATTTGAGCTTGGCTGTTGTTGATTAAACAGGTTTCCCTTCTGCCTGTAACTTGACTGATAGGTTTCATTTTCAGGTTCTTCATGTGACACTGTGTGTGAGCTTTGAGGAATATGTTTAAATCCAGGTGGTTGTGTGAAAAGGACTTATATGTGATGCTCTAAATACCATAACACACATTAATGTGAAAAATTAGTTTTATCTCTAAGCCATCTGTAGAAGTTTCTGCAGAGTGCCCTTAACGTTCACTATAACATTTCATTTTGTGTTCCATCGTTGAATATCCCAACTCACAACCTCTATTTTTGAGTATGCAGTGAGTTTGGAAACTATTCTTACTTTTAATGAAGTTGAGAGAGTAGAACATGATTATTAATTTACTGTAATACTGCCAAAAGCACTTTTTCTTCTCCTCCTCCTTGTTAGTACAAATGACCTGTTTGTGTTTTAGAGCCTTTGCAGCTGCTTTCGTGTTACACTCTGGCCTTTGAAATGGTAATACTGTTACACTCCTCACAAGGATGATTGCACAAGCCCCTTGACTCTTGACTGAAAAATATGGAGCTCTTCAACATAATTGTAACAGAGGAGCATCTCAGTTCTTAAAGCAAATGCTGACCTTCTCATTCAAGTGCTTTGCACTCTTTCTATACTTGGCACTTGCCCTGTCTGGCGTAGTGAGCTGCGGAGGGAGGACCCCTGGCCAGACCCTTTCTCCGCCAGGAGACAACCTTATTCCTCTAAATTGATCCAGTGGGGTGTGAGGACTGACGTGAGAGCCAGGACTCACTGTGCAGTCAGTAAGATACAGCTCAGAAGGAGGGAAGCTAATGAGCAAATTACCCTTATCTTTTGCAGGGAAAAAATCCAGTGTGGTTGAGGCCATGGTGCCTACAGGGTTTTTTGGGTGTTCTTTTTCTTCTTCCCCCCTCCCCAAGCTTATAATGTAAGCTCCACTTTATCAAAATTCAATGAAGACACATTGCAAAATCAGTGACCAGAGATATTTCTTTGATTTATTTTCATTCCTTGAGTTTGGAATGCCTCT